ATAGAGTACGGACGTTAAAAGCTCCTATGTAGAAAGGATCTCGTGGATTTAGAAAGGTGTTATTTTGTTTAATGTTTTTAGGCAGCGTGAAGCATAAGGCCCTTCGGTCAGACGACCGACAGTCAAATGGCCCAGCGACGTTTGCTTGTGCAGTGGGAAGGGATTGGGGAAGGACATCGGTGGACGCTGAACTGCGCGGGCAAATGACACTTCCAGACTGCCCAGGCCGAGGAAGGGGGTTTGGTTGAGATACCTCACCTTGAGCCTTTGACTCAAAAGTTTGACTGTCTCATCCGGGAGGCGGCTGCGCACAGCAGGTGCCTTTTGAGCAGCACCGGGCTCTCTGGTTTTAAAAGTATTTCGACCGTATTGGATAATGCGCCGGCGGTCACGGGCAACCATTGGGCAATCGGAGTAAGCGGTTTTTGGGGCCGACTTTTTCTAACCCATCCTTCCTCGGGGGAAGGCAGCATCGCTGCTGGTCGCCTGGGGGAAACACCTTACTGCCTTCACACCCCTGTTGCAGAGGACAGTACGAATTTATCCCCAGGCCGCCTCGTTGCACGATTACTCGTAGTGCGGGGTCTTGCTGCTCTCCTTTGGCCTTCCTGGCATGGTTGCACCTTGTGGAACGAAGTTCCAGCCAGTGTAGCCCGCGGGATCATTGCAGCACTGAAGCCCGACCACCACGTCAAGGTGGTAGCTTTAGGTCGACCTCATGTAATACTCTTGAGGCTGATGAAAACACTAGAAACCCACTACTGAGTTCTCGCTTCTTGAGGTTCGTTCGAGAGGCCTAGTCCCCAAATTTCAAGTAGGAAATAAGACTGATAAGATTTCCGGGAGCAGGCATGCTTGCCGAGCCCACAAAAGTTCGAAACGGCAGTCATGAATATTACGAGTAGTGTCATATAAGAAAAATACTTCTACGTCTTAAATAACATTCCCACTGAAATGATGGGTGTGCAGTGCATCCAGTTGGTTGTTGATCTGTTCGCCGAGCTCGCAAGTATCTCGTCACCACAAGAAGAGACACTGTTAGTGCGCATCAACGATGTTTCCTCGTATGGTGACCACACGTTTTCAGGCCAATTGACAAGCACAGAGAACAGACAAACTGACACACTAGCAACAACTGATGGACACACCGAAATTAAAAATCGTCATTGTATCACTTCATAGCGATATCATCCCTAAAGCTGTAGCCCATTTCTTCAGTATCCAACTCCTCCTTGTGCGGAACTCTGAAAACGAAGAAATACGAAATACGACCTCTTCAGAGGGTCACAGACTGGATCGTGGGTGACGAGTACTGCTGTTCTGGACCTTCCTGGGACCTATCGCAGTCAGACGTCCGATCTAGGCTTTTGAGAGAGGGCACCAGGGTCAAGCAATGAAAAATGTTGAGCTGACGCGCTACCATACAGTGGCCATAAATAAGGAATTTAAAGAAAGTGCACATAAGGAGCACATAAATGACTAATAGGTAAGCTGAACACAATAATGGATCCTGATAGAGGCTACAGAGGGGAATCCGTATACGGACAACGCATACTGAAGGAAGCCTAACTCGACGAAGGGTGGAACACGTCATAATTCTCAAAACCCGAAAGCGGTGATCACTGAGTAAGGCTACAAAACGATGTTCCTCATTAACACGCTGTGTTTAATTATTTCACATTTAGATGACAAATTTTTATTTTTATCAACCAAACGAGTGACGCATTCCTCCTTGGTACAAATAAAACGGAATCGATGGAGTTAACTAGTCCCTTGTCAAACAACTTTGGTGATCGATCCACCTCGATGTATGCAATGCTGAATTTAACCATTTGACCGTTTTCTATGGTATTTGATTTTGGTGTTGCGACTGGGCAAATGGAGACAAGATAAAATCTTGCATCTAGTCCACTGTTAGCAGCCTGTGGATTGGAAAAACCAAGTTGCTCCAACCCACGAACAGACACAAAGTTGGGAAGAAGCCCACGAGGAATATTCCAACTTACGGGTACAAGTTAGAGCGTTTTGTAGCTGACAAATCTGACGATGTACGAAGAGCAGTTCGGTCATTACGCCATGGTAGGTTCGGACTTAGTATCGTACCCAACTTGTGTGCTGGATGTTCATCAGTATCCAGTTTGACAGAGGGGCGCATTGTCCCGTCAGCCATTCCGGGAGTGTGAGGCAACGATCGACAGGTTTTTGGCACAAAAGGGGCACACTTTTCGTGACAAAGGATCCCGCAATTCGCACAGCAAGCGGCTTGTCGGCCAGTGCTCAGAGACAAAAGAAACGTCTGACAATAATGACAACGGGCGTTTGACATGCTCACACTTGTTGAATTGAAGTGATGAGGCTGAAATTCACAAGGAAATTTTAAACGAGCTTATTCAATTAATGGGCATTGCGGTGTAAGTTTCCAGGATCTTCCCTATACACGGGCGAGTGTAGCTGTCATAGCTGTAATTGATGTGTCCAAGACTAGCTGCATCAAGATGAGTTCATATGATATGCTTCTAAACAAGTGCACAGGGCACAAGTTGAGTAATAGGCTGTAATGGAAGTTAGCTACAAACGACAGTACACGGAATTGCAGAAGAGAAACCTATTTCTTAACAACTGCCAAAGGCGTTAGTGATAAGTTGCCAAAAAACATCAGCTGGTCATCGAAGGGCTTTATCCAGAGCCAACAGACCCCAAAGGATATTGGGGAACGCATAAATTAGATATAACTGGTGGGTGAACTGCACGAAATTCACCGGAAAAGTTTAATCAGAGTGCTGTTCTGCAAGAGGAAGTTGACTATGTGAATACCTAAACTGTGAGATCAAATGTTGCCACGGACGTGGGCTGCAAATCCTCAATGGGAAGTCCGAGCGCACAGTGCAAACAAGCCACGCAGACCACAAGGGCAAAAATCCGTCCCGTGAATGCCCTCATTTATATCCAATCCAATTGTGCGTGTCTGATTGTGGAGTATAAACGACAGTCACTAGGTCTTCGAGTACTTGATGATACTTAGATGATACAGTAAATGAACTGTTTTTGGATGGACAATCTTCTTTAAGGAGATTCTAAATTACCTGGACCAAGAGCTGGTTGCATTGTCAAACATACAGGCTACCCCACTCAAAATTTACCCACCCAAACAAAGCTACTCAAGTTTCGTCTGGTCCACACGCTATGCACTCAAACACTAAAGGCATCATAGAAGAGATTTAGTGATAGTTTCAACAAGTAGAATTTGAATGCTATTGCGGTGTACTTCTACTCACCGAGTCAGCCAAAATATCATCTGCTTGAATCTGAAAGAAAGTGTGAAGGCAAATTCGCTTTTTCGGAAAGAAATGAGAAAAGCAACTAAGCAATAGTTAAAGAGGGCCGTGAATGACTGTCTATCAGCGAGGAGCAGGGTTTCCCGATAAATGTGCAAGAAATCTGCAAGAATTTTACAAATGAACGAAGTAAGGTAGGAAATCCCTGAGCTTGGTGGGACCGACACGAAAACTTACCGTGGCAAACATGACGCTCGAAAGGTGAGCTTCATCCGCGCTGGCCATCGAGTTTCCTACTGGATTGCTGACCGCAGATCCGCTGTGTAAACTGTCTGATTCGTATCCGAGCCCAGTCTCCACACTGGGATGTGATAGTCCCCCGTCTGCAAACACGTTACGAGTGGTCCGGCGAGTCAGGCGCTGTAACGTGGCAGCCCGATGATAGTCAAACGCGGCAGAACGGGCGGCCAGGCACTCATCAGAAGAATCACCCTCGTTTAGTGATCGATCATCATCATCGTCCCCGATCGAAGCCCCTGTACCTTCGTGGAAAGCTTCGTCCTCCGAATATGGTTCAATCAATAAAGCATTGATAGCGACCTTATGCCGTCCGGCTGAGATATCACTTAAATCACTTGAAGGCCTGTGTGTGTTACGCTGACTGTCTCCGTTCAGTTCAGTCCTTTCTAATGACTTCTCGGTATAAAGTTCTGTCGAGTGCAAGGTGTCAGTGACATTGGAACTTGCTGAAACCATATCTTCGTTTTCATCCATTTGGGTGAGAACATTATCCTGCGGCGTTACTGTTGTGTGGTTCGAAAAACTCCCAGAAGTAGGTTTTGCTCGTTGGTTTAGCTCGGTAAAGCTCTCCGACACAGCTCGTCTGGGTGGTAATGGCATCCGACTAGTTTCAGAACTGGCGGATGAATGCAAGGGCTCGCTGGCTTCCCGATAATCCGCCGTGATAGTCAGGTGCTCAGGACACTCACGCAACTTTACGGCATCGGCCACTCGGGCGCGTCTGTCCACTCGAATTGGCTGAGACCGTCGAAAAGGGCGTGTTCGTGCAACAGTTTTATGTGGACGTCCGATAAATTCAGACTGAGCCTGATCCCATGCAGCTTTCCAACCAGTAGCTTCCTCCCCTTCTCGGAGACCCAGTAAGGCGTAAACTTGTTCCTTCAAGTTAAAACAACGGATAGGATCAGAACACAGCTGAAGCCGATGGATACAACCAAGACAAGTAATCTAAAAATCCAAACATCCCGAAGTTACCTAACTTTAGATACAATTCTGATGTCTAGCCACTGAGTGCTATCTGGAAGCTTGCCCTGCGCGACTGAAAAAAATTTCCAAAGAACAAGTCTTTTATCTATCTTACCCAGTATATCTGTATTCCCAACTTCCGTGCACTATGCGAAACGACAAAACACTACCCTGCATATTTGAGCGCAGTTTTAACCGCATGTATTTTGAGAGCTAAAGTAGGTTATCCAAACGAGTCGTAACGGTTGTTCCTGCCGATTCCTCATCAGTTAATCGCGTGGGTATGAACTAGTCTATTTCAACAACGCTTGGCAAAACATAAGCCAGTGACAACATTAGGCTTACTAAGAAGCCTGATGTGCTTCAAATGTTCCAAGTGAAGGATTAGACGAACAGGCAAAAACTGAGTTCAGCGCATCGTGTCAGGGATTGACGCTGCCTTTGTGCAAACAGTGGCTACTTTGGAGTTCTGCAATCTCACATACAAAAACCTTCAATGCTCAAGACAACAGTGGATGGCTGCAGAACCCTTGTTAAAGAAGTAAAAACAGTGCCCCCCCCCCCCGCTTAATCTCCATAGACCACCAAAAGCACCAAACGCAAACAGTAAAATAGCCTAACGAAATACCAGCAGCTCACCACATGAGTATTATTCAGCCCTTGACGAAGCACTGGATCGTAGGGTCGGTTGTTTTGCTTTCGATAACTGGGCGAAAAGTGATCCAAGTCAGAAAGCAAAGATGCGCCCCCCCCCCCCGAACTTAATCTCCATAGACCACCAAAAGCACCAAACGCAAACAGTAAAATAGCCTAACGAAATACCAGCAGCTCACCACATGAGTATTATTCAGCCCTTGACGAAGCACTGGATCGTAGGGTCGGTTGTTTTGCTTTCGATAACTGGGCGAAAAGTGATCCAAGTCATACACCGGGCCGGTCGCTAAATCTTCAGTCAGAAAGAACTTCCAGACATCCAAAGAAGCCATATTGGTGGCCGGACGAAGAACCTTCACAAAAGCAAAGGAGAGAACAGAATACTATGATCACAGTGGACAGATAAAGCAGAACAGATGGAAAGTTACAGTATCTCCTAAACCAAAAAGCGAATAACACGGGTGGTAGAAACGAGGAATGTAATGTACACTAATTGGATAGACTTTACCGGGGAAGAAAATGCCCTACTAATTAGAACCTTTTACCAAGAGAATTCGACACTGCAAAGAAGTAGTCGAAAATACCCAAAGAATGCTCGGTGCGATGATCGCAATTAGCAGTACTATTGTTCTGGACTGTGAGTTTAGCGTTGAACACCATAATTTATTACTGCATATGAAGTAAAAGTTAACCAACTAAAACTTTTGCCTGTGAGACAATGATCAACTGTGCTTCCCCAAAGCTAACGAAGCACGATAACTGAAATGGATCATCATCAATCAAGAAGGCAAGATCGAAAGATTGCCGACAAGTCCCATTCACCTTATACGATCAAGTGGAACAGCCTTAAAAAGGGGTCCGACTCACAGAAGTCATTGGAGTCCCGTGCTCACGTTAGTTTAATGTGTGATTGGGTAATGTATTCATCAACTCGTCCTTTTTATGTGAAATGGTTTTTTCTAACCATGTGCCGACTGAATCAAGCACTTTATGTTAAACATATCAAACTATGAACTTGGAATGTAATGGGACGTTATTCGAAGAGATAAGATCGCTCTCTGAAAAATTTCGGCACACGAAGTTTTGGGTTTCAGTTGACTCATCTGGCGTGTGTGGAAGGGCACACAGCACATCAGTTACACACTGTTGATATTACGACCAGGTGTTCGTTAGCTCACCCTTCACAGCTGGTGAATTCGGTTTGCCGACTTAATCAAGTAGTCTGACTGCTCGTGCATAACCTGATTATTTATCCAAACCAGTCATGAACCAATGAGGGCGAAAGCCTCCGCATTCGTAGGGTTCTCATGACACATCCACAACTGTCCTACGAGTACACCTTATATGAAAGTTCAAATGCAAGAACAGAGCAAACAACATGTGGGCATGTGGTGATGAAACGCCCGGCAACAAAGAGGAGACATGGGGTCACAATTTTGATGGAACAAAAACGACAAAATGCTCCACCGACGAACGAACCTTTTGACCCATTTCACGAGAATAACGAAAGTTGAAGAACACAGGCCACTCTTCGTGCTGTTTTTGGATATAAGACCAGATCGAATGGCTGTCATAAGATTCCAATACTCGACCATCTTTACGCATTCCGATCGTTGATGCCAACCGCAGCCCATCAGAGACACCGAACCACGCAGAAAACCGATCTTTCTCGCAGTCATACTTGAAGTCACGGAATCGGTTCGAGAAGTGGTGATAGGCGAGAAACTGAAGGAAAAAATCGTTGAATTCGAACGAAACTGGAAACTGACGGGCCAGTTGATGCACAGCATCGAGGAACTGGAGGAATACGGGAGAAATATGATCGGACTTGGTAGGGGCAGTTTGATGGAGTCGTTGATTGAAGCGATGTCCAAACAAGATCCATTCTTTTTCCACCAAGGACCAGAAACCAGATAAGGTTCGATAGTGTGGATCCAGCATGACCTGGGCCAAACAAACAGTCTAAAACAAGAATATGGTAGTTAGAAGGATGATGACATTAGATGAAAGCTATTTATTATAATGCCTGTTGTAGCTTGAAGCGAAATTCGCCCACCCGACAGGGATACCTACTCCAAACTGCCGCGGGTTAACCAACTCATCAGTTAACAAAGTAGAGCCCACTTGCCGCTAGGGTGACCAAATCTGTCGGGCCAAATTTTGTAACGTCAAAAAACTCTAGATGAGCTAGGTATTGTTAACTTACGAAGGGTCCGGTATTTCTGTTAGCACTAATGTATAAGCTCAGGCCATTATACATATGACGTGCATGAACTGATAAACCGAGACAAATATACGTTGGTGTGGAGTGTCCACAATACGACTGTAATTGTGTCAACAAAAGGGGAATGCAATTCATTCTCCAAACCCTAGATAGTTTCGATCTTCTCTGGACAGTGTAGTAGATAAAAACCCGATTGGAACGAAAGACAAAGTGGAGTAGCTCCTGGACAAACAAATGAGAATTAGGATTGTTGGTTGTTGATCAGGTGGCTGTTGATCTGTTCGCCGAGCTTGGCAATTGATTTGCAAACGTCTCGTCACCGTACGAGGAGATATCAAAAGTGCGCAGTTGGGATTCCCTAAATGATAAACACAATGGGATCCAAAATCTGGGATGACTGATGACTTTACTTCCAATATGTACGATGAAACCGATTCCAATTTTGATGCATAGATTAAAATTGAACCACTTCTACGGAAACTGCCTTGTCCATAGTGAGACAGGCTTATGAATAACAAAAATTACTTCGACAAATGCTCTCGTTTACACACGAAGTTAGTTTCCACCGAAGACTCAACTGAATCTAGCTGAACCTCTAGTTTATGGTGGTCGAAGTAGTTTTAGCAAACTCATGGGTGGTGTGTTACGTCTAGACAACCAAGAGAGATTTTTCCGCTATCTTCAAACCAGAAGCATGAAAGGATTTCACAGCCCTTACACCAGTGAAAAGTAGTTGTACTAAATTACTACTGACCAAAAACAATGTGAAATTAGTATTATGACCCATCAAGTACGAAGCTATTCAGTGTTCTCATCTGTGCTCATCCGGGTACAAGCAGATTGGACCGATAAGACCGATTGTCCACCTCCATAATCCACTGAGCTATATTACGAAATGTACGTGTTACACACAGTCTTTAGTACGAGGTTGGTCTATAAATAGAAGTCTGACTAACACAGTGCTGCAGTGCGGTTAGGCGTTTGAGACAAAGGCCTTGCTTGACGACCATAAGCGTCCAGATCTATAGCAATGAACTAAGCACCTACAACCAATCTCACACCAAATCGACCGTCACGTCATTCCATCAGCCACATCATATACTGCATACAGCACGGCAAGCTACTGGTGAAGCTCTCTTCTTCCCCTTTCATACATTCGTTGTTCTTCCATCCTTAGTCCGTTACCAGCGACACTCCATAGACCCACTTCTAGGAACTGACACATCATCCCAACGCCTGTTGCCGTCAGTTGCAATACCTGCGGTTAACTCGGTTATAGCGGCCGCATATAATTCGAAATCAGCCTTTAGGGCCCGACATTCAGTTCAGCTGCCAGTCTGTATGTTTGCACTATGAAACAACCCGGACAACAGAATGCTCCTGCATATATGCTGATCTCGCTTTCTAATCATCCTTGCTACCTCTCTGAAACGAGGATTCAAGAGCTAAGTAAGTTTGCCGCAAATACCTCCCCATTGATTTTCTCACGCTTCCGTTTACGCATCTCTGAAAGGCGGCAACACGCATGTTTATTCATCCCTCTATCACAACCCATTAATAACACCCTCCATGTAGGCCCAGCAGTTAGGAATGATAACTTCGTTCATCCTGCAGCGGTTTTGCAAGCAACATCTGCGCGTTATCCGGCTCCGACATCTTGAGGCATCTCAAAATCAGTTTTCAAAATTCGACGCCCAGTCTATCTGGCTGCCTTCAATATTCGCAGTTTGAAGCAAACAGGACAATAAGCTGCTCCTGTTCAGCAGCAAGAATTCAAGATGCAAGCAAGCGGGGTTCCCGCCTGGTAGGAGTTACTTGGACCAAATCTTCCGGCAGGTGTTCAAACGACGTCGTACGTATGAACAAAACAGTTTTAGTATTTCTGCGTTTCCAAAGGGCATTCAACTCAGTTTTCCCTGACACATTGGCACACCAAGGAATGTCCCGGAAGTTTCTTAGCATAATAAGGCTGTATTCTCAGATTTGCGGACGCGTCAGGGTACACGGTGAGCTTTTTAGAAGCTTCTGTTCACAAAGCGGTATCCGTCAGGGGTGCCCTCTCTCTCTCTCCATTTCTATTTAGTTTCGTGATCGATGAGATAATGAGATGAACGCTGAAAGGTCTTCAAAAATTCAGTGCTAAAATGGCCTCTGACGAAGATCTGGAAAGTACAGACGACATCGTTCGCAGCTCCGAAGGGGAGGGGAGGGGCAGTTCAACCCATTTTCTGGTATGCACTTTGCACCCTATAAGGCAATGATCCTAGATCTGCAGTCACTAAAACACACCGGTTACAATTCAGAAAAAGGAAACTAAAGTTTTGCAGCGTTTTACGTACCTTGTAAGTTGTATTAGTTCTGACTGTAGTGTGACAGATGAGGTCAATGCACAAATCTGCAAGTCTCGGGTCGCGGTTGCTAATTTGAGATACCTGTGGTGAGGTGGCTCAGGGGTAAGAGCACGAATTTACTGACCGGCGTGTTCGTGATCCGAACCTAACCCCTGCATCCCGATCTCTCCTGTCTAAGTGTTGGAAACCTGGCAGTTTCCTAACCCTCCTGTTTTCTTCGGGTAGCACGGTAACTGAGCACCGAAAAAGTGTTGCAAATGAACGATTTTCTCTGGTGCTAAAGCGGTATATCCCTGAATCTCAAGAGACGTGTGGATCAAGCTACATTGCTACAGTTGTATGCCTGTGAGACTTGGCCTGTTCGAGCAGCGGAACTCAGACGTCTTCAGGTCTTTGACAACCTTCTTTCCCTTCAGAAACATAGCTCGTGTTGATTGGTGCTGGCAAATCCGTAACAAGGTCATCAGAAAGCGGATTTTCGGTTGTGGAACGGAAACTTCCGTTGAAGAATGTGTCCATCACCAGAGGCTGTGTTGGTTAGGCCATGTATTGCGTATACTGAACGATCGTTTGCCGACCAGAGTGCTGTTTTCCGTGCCTAAATCTGAGTGGCGGAAGCAGTGAGGTGGCCGACCCTTGATCTGGCTGAGGGGTTTGAAAGGGATTAAGAAACTTTTGGGTGCTATCGGTGCCACTTGCCTTCCAGACTGGGGACTGCGTGATGGTCAGTATACCTGGTTGGAGACGCTGCGAAATATGGTTGCAAAGCGATGTAAATGGTGTCAATGATGATGTTGATGTAACTTTCTATCCAGATTGCCTGAATGAGTGTCTTTAGGTGTAGGCTCCTCGGAATGATTGTAGAAAGCCAGCACCAAGTCGATCCCCTCTCCATCTTCGTGAAGGATTACTCTGAGGCACGGCTGAGAGCAACTGCACCATTTAACAGTCTGTTTGATGAACTCCTAGGTTACTCGACAACATTATGATTGCATATACTAAAATTCTTCTTGAGATGTTTTTGACTTTGAAAAACTGCAGCGAATCGCGCTAGAGGTCGTTAGAGACATGACTCCGATGCCCTGACTAACGAGTAAAAATCTGGCAAATACGTGCAACCCATAACTCATAAACCCAAACAGAGGAAAGCGAGCCCTGAGTTGCCAATCGATCTTGGTAGATCATTTGTAGGTCAGAAAATCTAAATTTCAACAGAAGTGTCGATAGCTAACGACTAAAAAGGTATGAACACATGACTTTTACGGGTCGTTTGTTTTCGCGGTCGTCTGCGCTCGAGTTGAGTGCTTTCCCTTTTCACGTGCACCCACCAGAACAATTACGTCAGGACAATAGGATGACTGCTTAAACGAGGGCTATATATTTTGTTCCATGTTTTTCCTGGCATAATACTCAAGTAGCCTATAAATGTGTTTTCTGCCCTTATTTTTAACCTCACGACAACATGCAGAAGAATAGGGAAACAGATTGTGTCATAATTTCGACCTAAGATGCATGTACGAAATAAACCTTTGGACCAGGTTTCAGAGCAGTTTGGCAAACAATATTTGTATCTGGCTCAATGAATTCATTTGCGAGTTACGGCGGTGTTAAGGAGCTACTTGAACGGTATTTAGCACAAATGCTCTATTTTCCGACGTTCGAAGTACGCTTTCTTAACTATTTACAAAAATACCGTCAGAGGTCCCAACAACCAAACAAGTAGTGTATTTGTCAAGGAAATCGAAATATTCATTTGTTTATCACTCCTTTGAACTTACAAATTCTTGATCAATCCCAAACTCTTCCTTCAGCACTACTTTTTCCATTACGCGGGATTACAATGCGGGTAATCCGAAGAATAAAAAAAAACCCGTAAGCAGAGGACTTGTGTGCACTGGATCACGTCAAAAGGACATACGATTCTTTCCGAAAAATATCATCAGGAATCGAAAGAGGTCATTACGAACTGGTGATCACAGAAGTTTCGTCTTCACCCCAATATGGTTAACTCTAACCCTTGTGACGTATTCGCACCTGATGAGCTCAACGACTTCCAGATATATATTGAAAGTTGACATCTCGTCAAACTAGAGCGCATCGAGCCACATGACACGTTATGAAGTAAACTAAGGAGTTAATTAAATCAAACTGTTATTCGTTAGTAGGATCTTGCTGATAGCGTGGTGCTATACGGAAAATAGGCCGATCAAGAGTTGAGTAGCTTAGACAGCTGTACTAACTGGATCACCGTGGGAAGAAATATGCTAAAGCTTCTAATAAGGAACAATCGAGGAACGTTCCAATAAGCAACAAGCATAACTTGGCAATGATCTGAAAATGCGTCATACCTGAGTCACGGCATCCATCCCGTCCTCCAGACAAACGGCAACTGAGGTTGCGTGCAAATCTAGCAAGTCAACAACAGCGCCGGCCAACTGAAGTAACGATTGTAGTTGAGCGAGCCACCCACTGTCATGTATCGCGGTGTGTACGGTTGTTGACGAGCTCGTGGGCTGTGGAGCTGCTGCAAAGCCACCAGATCCCCAAGCATTTGCTTCTCCATCCGGAATTGTGTTTTGGGTGCTGGACGCCACCGGAGACAATCCTGCGGCATTCACCGCCGCGGCAAGCACATTGCTCTGCGAAGAAGATTTGCCCCCGTCTTTGGGCATGCAGGCTTTGATTACACTTTTAAAGCTCTCGGCAATGTTCGAATGTGTAAAGAATTCTACACCAATAAACTCGACAGAACGAACATGAGACTGCTTTGAAAGGGTCTGAAATGGAGGGAGTTTGACAATAAGACTTTAGCAAACAGCTGAGGAAACACAACCGAACAAAACTAGGCATGCATGGGACTGAACTTGGATGATATTGCGAGTCCTATTCACGGGACTGTTATACTCTATCGACCGGGTATGTTCGCATGCGTGAATAAACAACCCAGAATGATTGCACTAGCAGTAAGCACATGAATAAAATATATAGGCTTCCTATAACCTGAATATCATAGTGCAGTGACTAGTAGTGAATAATTGAGGGGCTGACGCGGCATATACGTGATACGGCCAGCTAAAAAAACGCACTGTGCCGTAGTACGGTATGTCCCCGCAACAAGTAGCGGGAAGCACATACAAGACCCAGTATGACGGACAGCTTGTGCCTGACGTGCTTCCGAATCGCTGCTGTTGGCGATCAGCTCGGCTAAAATTAGACGGCAAACGTTAGCCATGACGGAATCAGCCACATCACTATGTGGCAAATAGCATTTGGATTTTGGTACAGCAAACAGCGGTGAAAGACCTATATTCGACAGAATACTAGTAGTCTGAGGTTCACTAGTAAGGTATTCTGCACCGGCACTGGCCTACCTGCACCATCCACAAAAAAAGGATCATAACGAGAACATCCCTTGGGTCTAAAAATGTGCGTCCAAGCAGCCAGAAAATCACTTTAAGCATAGGCAGTAAGATACCAACGAAAGCATGGATGAACGGTATAGACTGCAACGGTCAATGGTGAAACAGGAGACAATGACGAAAAAGATCCGGGAGCGAAAACCACAAAACTGACCTTCATCAGAGACTTTTCCCCTAGCACGCAAAGGGTGACGGACCGATGACACATAGTAGCCGCCGCATTACCAGGATAACCACCAAACCGACCGGAAATAAGTGGGCTCAACCCACGTAAATTCGTATTCGAGTCACTGATGGTGCTGATCAGGTCATCCTCCAGTCCAGAAGCTACACTGCCCATTGGGGTAGGGCCACGACGACCATGTCGAAGCGTGAGACCGGCGAGTCTACCCAGAGCTGGAGCATTGGTTACAAAAACAATTAGCACAAAACAAAAACATGGCTGATATACAGCATCACAAGCTAGTGTGAAATAATTCTACACCTACGACGAGAGCCGAACGATGTGCAGAGGCAAAAAACAATGAAGATGAGCTCTAAATCAGTGGACAGTAGACCACAGGAGGATTTGTGCAGCGCCCAGGTTCTCCTCTGAAAATATCAACATCTACTCACAGCTGTTTCGAAAGAGCCTAGCGTGACTACAGGATCGCTAAAACATTTACCTAGCATCATCTGGAAACCCTATACTCGAAACAATGACCACGCGGTTGCTGCTTGGTGGAAACAGATAAGCAACGGAATCCATTATAACTATTCTTAACCAGGAGATCAGACAGTGCATTCAATCAAATAAACTGCTGTCGGCATCCGCCTCAGAATCTGATTCCGCAGTGTTAGCTACAATGGGAATGCAGAGACTGAAGCGCAAAGCAATTGTTTAGCGGGACGGTCTGATAATGTAGATGTAACGGAGTGATTCAGAAAAGATTAACCTGCGCAACCACTCACAACAACCAGTCAGTACTTTCTAAAAAGTTGTCAGACTTGGTGGTTTCAACTGCCACATGAGAGCAAAATAGGTTTAGGTGTCTCCATGTGGTCCCCGATATAATCAGTGCGTCATTTTGAATGCATACGTCGAAGCTGCCCATATAATCAACCACACGCAGTCACGTTTCCATTAAAGTGTGAAAGAGAAAGAAAGCTACCACTCGTAACCATGTTTGGAGTTTTAAAACGGGAGAAGCAACGGACCGAATAATCCTATTACAAGACAAACGCGGATCAGCCACCAAAGCACACCGGCCTTCTACTTTTGGTTACCAGATGGGGAGACACAACACAAATAGCAAATGAATAGGGCACATCACCGGCAAACGCAAGCAACACCAACTGTAAAAATGAAGATTACAATAGAAGTTGGCGAGAAAACTACAGCAGCTTACTGAAAAAGTCTGGATTCACATAAGAAATAACGATGGATGGTTGTCATGGGGAGAGGCGAGAAAACACTATTTTGGAAGTATGGATTTTGCATGAGAAATCGACTGATGTACACACAAAGGAGAGAGGAGAACGTAGACCGGCACGGTTATGATGCGACAGAACATATCACTGCGTAACTTAGTTGATCACCGAGAAAGTAATCAACACCAAAGAACATTAGGAGACGAATTAGGCCGACAGGCATAGTGCAGGAAATTGCGCAAAAGTCTCAAAGCCTGGATATTTATGACAAAATATAACCCAAACCCATTTCAATCACTTGCTGAAACGAACCCGGGATTAAAAAAAATATTTCGACTCCACATAAAGCACTCCAACCCGGATCTACTCCGTCACCAGCGACACTCCATATAACCACTTCTAGGAACTGACATTTCACCTCAACGCTTGCTGCCGTCAGTTGCAATACCTGCAGTTAACTCGGTTATAGCGCCCGCAGACACTTCGAAATCGGCTCACCTCAGCTGCCATTCTGTACGATTGCACCCTGAAAGAACCTAGACAACAGATGGCTCTTGAATGTAGGCTGATCATGCGCGCTACCCTGTGAAACGAGGATTCAGGAGCAAACTAAGCTTGCCGAAAATACTGCCCGATCGATTTCCCCAGGTCTTTGTTTACGCATCTCCGGTGATCAGAAAGCCACCGCAACCGGCTTTGACACAGTTGGTACCGATTAAAACCATCGAGCTGAAGATTCTCTACTTGGATAGATGCCCGTTGGTAGTCGCTTCGATGCGGTTCGGTTGGCAACATCTGTAAGCATAGCTCATGAAGTCACCCATCGTCGCAGCCTCTACATCGTATTAGCTTGCGACCCAACAGAGTGTAGTCCAGATACGAATAAACACAGCTTTTACGACGCCTCGACGCAGTGTTCCGACAGACGAAGAACTCACATATCGTTGTGGGTGCGGCGCATATGAATGCGTATGTGGGTAGACTCTCAGGTTCAATCTGGTGGACATCCTGGACTATAATCGAAATGCATGGACAACGGCGAAAGCCTGCTCCACTTGCGTGTTGACCGAAACAGCCAAATTCGCTTGGTTACATGCAGCTCCCGCATACAACCCAAACTCCAACACAGATAGACCACATCGTTATTAGATATACGTGACATGGGCCAATTACTGATTGTCTTCCATTTCGGAACGCCTGTGTGGGTGCGGAGGATGCACTGGTTCGTTGCACTATTCAGGAGCGCAAAAGATACAGCACCTCGGATCCTGATGTGAAACAAGTCTATCGGAGCCAGCTAGTGGAATCACCTTCGAACATCACCTCTTCTGATGTTGACTCTCATTGGTGGGTACTTTTAGTAAGAGATACGTATTGAAAAGATGGACTTGAAATTTTGTATCATTTAAAGCGGTACGATTCATCAAATAGCATGACTCGAAAAAAGAAGGCGAATCACGAACACCATTAATTTCATAGCAATCAGCCATGGGTGATCATGCGATCGCCGGTATATTGCTACATACCTGATTCCACAGAACAGATGGAATATAAAGCTGAAGGTAAGGAAGTAGGCAGAACTGATGCTATGAAACGACTGAGAACTTGCGAGACAACACTGATGTGCCCCGTAGCCGCGAAAGCCACCAGTACTTGTTAGAGACAAACTGAAGCCTAGGGCGAATAGGATTTTCGATCAGTACATGGACCAAACCAGAAAAACAATAAAAGATGGGTAGCAACGAAGAGAAACACAAGCAAGAGTGAACCGAATTGAATAATAGAGGGAACCGAAGTTAAACCTGGGATTGTAGTCCGCTAATGACTGGGAATAGGGCATTTCAAGAAACGTCACTTAGTCTGCTAGAGCGCTGCAACAAAACAAGGGAGGATGACAACCAATGAGAAAAGGGGAACTCCGTAGGCTTCCAATAGGCCCATTAGTGACAGACTGCATGCACACCGTTCCACCGTAAAAAACTTCAAGGGAACACGGTGTTGAGAGACGATTGTGAGAAATCGATTTGAGGGCTGAAAGACGTGATACCTGCTTGTGGATATGATAGATAGCTTAGACAGAATATAGTGCGCATAGAGCGAACCGGGCATCTCCAAGCACATCATTAGCCACATTCTGTCAGAACCATGTGGGATCTAAGTCGAAAAAGCATGCGGATACAATGGAGGCATCATGCACCCTCGATTGCAGTTATTTAATAGGAAAGACGGTATGACTCCTTTTTGTATCGGGTACACTTATACGCATCGCCTAAATCAAGGTGAGGGCTACAGAGCGAGAATTAAGGCGTAGACGGTCATTTGCGTGTGAATAGAAGGCTTAGCTACAGCGCTGGGTTTTTTGCTGGGCCTAGCCACGTAGTGAGATGTTAGGGAGTTGGAAAGGTAAGACTGCACATGTTAGGTAGACGACCGGCGTGGGATTAGTGTGCTGCTACGGCTGCCACCACTGTACTGACTCATTGTTAGGACGGAATTCCGCGTAGAGAGTGCTGTGCTTACCACGATGAACGCGTCGCTTATGACTGCTCCTTTTACGCCGTTGAGGCTTAAAAACAGCGTCCAGAGAAGCTGCTGATACATCAGACAACGAGAACGTCCTCGATCTATGGGCTTCACAGAGGTTGAATAAGGGGTACAGGTCAATCACAGACGGTAGTTTTTAGCCGGATTGGTTGACGGTAAATTAAAAAGAATTATAAAGGAAAAAAACGCTTCAGCGTGCTAATTCGCGTATATGTACAAGATTCCCCTAAAACCCGAATAAACAGCACTAAATTGTCGACTTAAAAAAGGAATTTCTTGTAAACGCAGAAAATGCTTGGAAACGGAATGTGGTGACGACGAAAAAACATGGACTAAGCAATAAATGGAGGTACGTGTGGAAAAGATAACTGCGGTGGGGCCGGCGACATGATGCTATTGAAGAGATTCCACGGGAAGTTCCCGACAGGCTGTCTTGAACTCGGTCGCGTCTAATTGTTCTGATTTAAGCAAAAGAAACGCTGCTACGGTGAGAAAAAATCACAAATGACCACAACATTGAAAGTAGACGCCGAAATGCAAGGCGAGTCGTTTGACACGTATGCAGTTTCGATATGAAAGTACCATGTGAATGCCCCGAGTGTCAGAAGTAGTTGAACTTGCGTAAAGAATAACCTAATGATATGCCAGAGTAGTCTGTGATACGAAACAGAATCCAGCTAGATGAATTCGTTACGAGAATGTATAGTACTTGAGATGATGAACCCCGCCAAGTATGATGAAACATGGGTCAATAATAATTGTTGAGTGTCTTGAACGCCGAATGATATAGAAGCCCTCTAATAAATTTATATTTTTCTGAAACGTGAAGAATCGGCGATCGTTAAGTTATCCTGAGGTCATTTGAAATTCGCCCTTGATACACAGGGACGGCAGGATGAGCATTGTTGTTGAAAGGGGCCACGAAGAGCGTTCCGTAAAGTCTGCATAAAAAACTTTACCGACTGAGTACCAAATAAAAAATTCGCTCAGCTGTAACATCCTTCCGGTACCTAGCTGTCATGCTACCCGAAGGGAGCACGAGGGCTTGGATAATGCCAGGTTGCCCAAACCTACACAGGGGAAATCGAGAGACAGAGGTCGGGTTCGGACCCTAGTCCTAGCCACTCGAGACAGCTAGTCAACAGACGGCTTTAATTTGAAATATGTTTTGTCTGCAAGTCCGTCCTACACAACCGTTTGTGTTGCGTAGAGGAGGCAAGATTTGTTGCACTGTTGTTCTCAAGAAATACATCTTAACAACAAAATAAAGATTCTGTGAAAGTGAAAGTGTCAGGACGAAACTCACATCGTGTCTTTCCTCCATTAGTGCGTAAACCACCCAGGAGACGGCGGTCATGTGTCACCGGAGTTTGCGCGGTGGGTGAGATGGTAGATGTGTGCATCGCAGGGGGCGGCCCATCAGTCCGGACGACTGATTTCGCAGACTGGGACAAATACAGGCCATTGGCAGTCATCGCGCTGAATGACATGTCAATCAAGGCCAGAAGATAACGAGCATGTTCCCAGCCGGTTGAGGTGGAACTACCAGTCTGTTCTGAAGATTCTTCACTGCCTGGTGGAGAGAAGAGTAAGATGTTTACCACACAGCGACCTTCGAATTCAGCGGTGCGGGGCAAAGCAAAAACATATGCGCGGAGGATTTGAGCGATAGATCCTATCAGCGAACATGAAAATGCCACTGTACGGATAATCCGATTCCATTAGGATGGTAATAGCATGAGTAGATTATGTTTTCATCATCAAGCAGTGAATTCAATTATTCATTTTACGATAATACGAAACAATTTAATCGTGAAAATACTTAGTCTCTGTAATTAGATGACGACTGCCAGTCATGGACGAGAAAGGTGAAGGGTAAGTGGGTGGCGTAAACAACACGAGCGCGTAGTAGTATTCAGTTAAAGTAAGCAATAACATTTTGTAGACTATTTAAAAAGCGCACCAAGCGCTGTGTAGAAAAAAAAGCACGGGCAACGAACAACACGATAGCAACCAACGTGCGCTTTTATGGTGGGTAACAAGGGTGGTACATATGTTAAAAGAAAACATAGGTACAGTGCAAAAGTCATCTGAAGATCGAGGTACATTGAAAAGGAGGTGGTGATGGCGCTTCCAGAGTATTTTCCCTCATTCCAAACTCAAAAGTAACACACGAAAAAGGGATAGGATAACCCAACGGTTTTAGCAAATATGGCACCAGCTACGTAGACTCAGTGACCGAGAAGCCATTGCAAGTGGCTTTGACACAGTTGGTACCGATTAAAGCCACAGAGGTGAAGATTGTCTGGTTGGACAGATGTCCCTTGGTAGTCATTTCAATGCGGTTCGGTCTGTAACATCTGTCAGGATAACTCATGAAGGCGCCCATCGTCGCGATCTCTTCATCTTATCCGCTTACGACCCAACAGAATGCAGTCCAGATACGAATAAACACAGCTTTTACGACGCCTCGACGCAGTGATCCGACAGACGAAGAACTCACATATCGTTGTGGGTGCGGCGCATATGAATGCGTATGTAGGTTGACTTAGAGCTGCTCGAGTTCAATCTGGTGGATATCTTGAACTATAATCGAAATGCACGGACAACGGCGAACGCCTGCCCCACTTGCGTGTTGACCAAAATGTTTGTGTGCAGTACTAACTTCCGAAACAGCCAAAGTCGCTTGGCTACATGCAGCTCCCGCATGCAACCCAAACTCCAACACAGATAGACCACATCGTTATTAGTTTTACGTGACATGGGCCAATTACTGATTGTCTTCCATTTCGGAACGCCTGTGTGGATGCGGAGCATGCACTTGTTCGTTGCACTATTCAGAGGCGCGAAAGATACACGCACCTCGGCTGGCCATTGAGAAGCTCTCGGATCCTGATGTGAAACAAGTCTATCGGAGCCAGCTAGTGAAATCACCCTCGAACAGCACCTCTTCTGATGTTGACTCTTACTGGAGGGTACTATCCGAAACCCTGCGAGATGCTAGCCGATCGGCTTGTGGAATGGCGCAACCATCAGGATTTGAGCCCTGCATGTCGTGCCATACCAAAATTGTTCGAGGCTCGGAATACAGAGCAAAACAAGTTGACAAACAGTCAAGCAGGAAAGAGCATCTACGCGGATCCATGAACTCGATGGATTTAGAAGGCTGTATAGAGCTGTTAAAAGAACTCTTAAATTGTTTGGCTGAACACTTTCAAGAACAGTTCAACTGGTCACCTGAAGTTGATCACCCTGATTGCAGACCAGCAATGCAACTCTGAACAGTGAAATCGGAATCACCGCAAGCGCTTGGGATATATGGGAAATTCCACCCGCTTTGTTCTTCAGTCGATGCGTGTCTAACTTATTTGTCTCTATCGAAGAGGAGCAAACGGTCCCAAATAACTGAATTCTGTCGACAATGGTATCCATTTTCAAAAGTACCGCTCGCAGTATGTGGCAATCACAGGGGAATCAGTCTGACTGGGGTTGTAACAAACCTCTTTGCGTTGCTTCTCTGATGTCGTCTTATGAATGCGCGTGAAGAGGAAATCCAAGGGCAGCAGGTAGAATTTCGGTGGGGAGGGGGCTGTATGGACCACACCGAGCTCTATCAAGCGTTACAGCAGCGACTTACTTATAGGCGCAATCTTGCTATTCATTGACTTCAAGAGTGCGTCCTCATTCTGTCGACCGGTTAGCTCTCATCAACACGCTTGCGCAATGAGGTTTGGCCATGAGGTTAGTGGATATCGCGCGGTGAATGTATTTACGTACTTGTGGCGCAAATTGGTGTATGACGTCTCTCCAAAATTAGGTGTTCAGATGTGTTCGACGGAGAACGTTTTGAACCTGGCATATACAGGCAACATTATTACGATTGTCGAAGAAGCACAAGTTGTGTAAGCGTTACTTGGAATGGTGTCCAAGGCCATCTAGTCTTTTGGTATGTGTTTCGCGTCCCCCAGGTGCAAATTTGTTTTGTGAGACGCTTGAACATCCCTCTGAGAATCCAAGGAGTGGCACTGGGCTTGTAGAACGCTATAGTATATTGGAAGTTGCATAAGCTCTATCGGTAGTGTTACAGACGGAGTCAACGCGCGAATGTCGAAAGCTAGAAGTACGTTTGCCAATTTGTACCGTAGGTGGCATCACCACAAGACTTATCAATCAGGCTGCAGTGCGAGCTGTATTGTTGTGTGGCTGCGAGACTTGGCCAGTTCAGGAGGTGCTGAGTGCTCTTCAGTCCTTTGACTAGCGATGTCGTTGAACTATATCCAAAATCGCACAGAACTAGAAAATTCATAATGAGGTTATCAGGAAACGGGTTTTCGGTGAAAAAACATGGTACTTCACTCAGAGAGTGCACGCAGTACTGCGAGCTGAGTTGGTTGGGCCATGTGTTGCACTTGCCGAGTTATCGCCTGCTCAGATGAGTGTTATTTTCCGAACCCAAGACCCAGAGGTGGACAGAATTTGACATGGGAGAAGGAAATGAAGGGTGCTACCAAATGTTTGAGTGGCTCTGGTGCTTCTTGCCTTCCAGGGTGGGCATCGGGTAACGGTTCCTGTGGGTCACTGGGGACAGTGGAAGATATGGCGATTAATCGGTGTCAGTGGCTTTCATGCTCTCAGTTTCTATTCAGATTGTTTGAGCATTTGAGGTGGAGACACCGCAGATGATTGTGGTTGGTTAGTCATTAGCTGCCCGTTCTACGTGTGTTTCCCTTTCGGTAAAAAGGCTTTATTGAAATGAAGTGACATTGGTGTACGACAATGAAGCCTCAGTGTTGCTGTCACTGATGCTTATGATTATACCCAGCATATTCCCTGGGTCCTCTGGAACGTCTGGGACAATGACGGTGGGATAGGGTCTCATAAGCAAACCCTCGTATCAAGTAACCTGCAGGTAAGACTGTTCAGTCACGGTTTAGGATTCGAATAACTGTCTCAGTCAGTTTCGAGTGAAATGCTCGAGTTGGTGCACTTAAAACAAGCCATCATTTTCAACCCGGACAACTAGGATGTATCATTCTCCCTTGTGGCCCTTTGTTCACGGACCGTGCCCTACTTCAAGTAGACTGCTATCAGCCCCCGGATTATTGTCCCGTTTGTAGTCTGCTGTCCAGCGAAACATAAAAATAATGCCTTATTACACGTAGTCTGCTTCCAGCGAAACACATAAAAATAAAGCCCTTATTCACTCAAAAGAAATGACCCAGGTCGATTCTTCAATTACTCTCAGCTGAACTGCGTAACAGCCATCTCTTGCTGAATTTTGGCTTCCCCCTTCTGTCGATATGCACGGTACCTCTAAAACATGGATACAACTCAGACTCCGCCAAACATCTAAGCTAACCCAGGACAGGCCCGTTTCACTACTCGAGTGTCTCGTGCGCCTGATGCAACCGCTTGTGGGAGACAGGTCTTGTAAGTTGTGTTGAGCGGAGCTTTATGACAGAAGGCACCTTATTGGGCTGTACAGTTATCTGGCTCAGTTGGGATAAACACAAATCGATGCGATAAACTGTCTATTGAGTCAGCGTATGATCCAATAGACTGTGGCTGCGAGGCTAATAATATGGCTTCTATCGAGATCGAAGACGACTGTTTCGGTCAACGAAAGCATACATACCGTCATCCACATAGGCTATGAGTGTCCAGATCGGTCAACTGGGCTCCAGTGGAGGCACGTATGGGGTGGGAAATTCGGAACTGATGTCCTAAGAATAGTTAATGGAGAGCTACTACTCCGGGTATGCACTGAACGTGTCTATTTCTAGTCAGCAAAAGCACTAAGCATAAATGCTCACATGTAAGCTGCAAACAGCAAACAAGTAAAAAAATTCAGTTGGGTCTTTTGGCAGTCAGCTTCATGTTAGACCTTATCTTACCATTGTGCGGACTCGCTAGTCATTTCGAGCTGCTTCAGGACTACGCGGACATAAGCATGGTCATACTATTCGTCACCATCGAAATACTTGTGTAAATTACCAATATAAGGCCAAACCAGCTGGGTGTTCCCTATCGCAAGGAAACCGTGAGAGCTCAGGTTATTCAAGACCAGAGAGGAACAATCGAGAGTAAAGAGATGGATTCGGTCGGTAGCCCACGATAAACGTACCATCTCGAGGCTACGAAATCCAAAAGACAATAACGACACTGACGTTGGACTGATGGACGAGTTTAGTAACACGTATAATAGCGCAAACTAACGCAATCAAGGTTAGAACACTCAAATTTGCGGATCCCCGCCGAAATGGACAACGCATGCTAAGCGGACTGGTACGATTAATCAACTTATATGGTTTTAATAGGGGACGAATAAGTCAGCTACTCTAGGTAAACACTCATTACTGAGCTGCACTGCCGGCCAGACTGAGGTTTAATTGGATGAGGTCAGTCGATCATAAATGCTCGGGAAACTGAGAATAAGTGAGCCAGCTTCCTACGGGATAGTCCAGATAGGGCCTGAAAATAACGAAGATAATCCCTTCAGATATAATCACAACCGAAAACAGCATGCAGTGGGAACTCTTACAGGTTAATCGACTTGAACAGTTTACCGATCAGCCAGTTAGACCGATTCACCTAAAATGAATCAGCCACTTCCAATCCACTTGTTCCAATTTACATGCCATGGCTTGACACTAGGAGTTTCAGTGGTGCACCCTGGTGACAGGCCGTTGAGATCCAAATACAGCAAGTCGGTAAACAAAAAGCCGACTTGCTGACTAAACTTGACGTCACGTCAGACCTGAGGCAAAGATGACTGTGGTGTCGAGAAAAGGACCACAGATTCGCGTGGCGTATCAAGACTGTCACAGTGAGTTGGCTGGTTAGTAGTAGACTTTTCGAATGAGCGCACAAGTGAGTAAATGGTCACTGTTAAGAGGTACACATCTGCGAGTCGCACTTGACTGTAGATATCCTATTGCTACCTCGCTGCCATTAGGTCAGCCGGTGTAGAATCACATTTACCAAAGGACACAAGGTGGACTAGCAGCTGAAACCGTAAATCTGCTGAACTAAGAGAACGGTCACAGCCCTGTCACCAAACAACACAACAACATAGTCCATATAGCCGGATAAATCCAAAGACAGTACGAGATGTTGTGTATCGAGGACGTGACAGTTTCACGCGGAGAACAATGCACAAGCCGTGACGAAAGTCGAGAGTGTTGCTATCGTGTAAATTATGATGGGGATTGTTAGCCTAGGACCCATATAAAATCACTAACAGCATTAAATTATCAACAGTACAACAATGGATGTGGTCATCAATGAGAAGCAACCGATTCATGAGAACTTGACTCGACCCACCCCTACTAATTCCTGGCACACGCCTCGAATTTCTACTTAGGCAACATGTCACTAAGGGTTATGGAAAACATAGAATAATGCTAGCGAAATACACTCATTTGCGAACTAATTTGGTTTTGCGAGAATAATGTTATTTAGAGAGAAACGGGCAGTGAAAGCATGACCTGTAACAGTTAAAATAATCCAGTTCTGCTAATTCCAGCTCGACCAGATAGAAAGTGTCAATATAGATATTTTGTGCACAGGAACATTCCGGTTCCTTAGGGCAAACAGCGACGAGGTGCACAAGGCAATTTCATAGCAAACAAAAGGCAAATGCACTCACCATCTTTGTCTGTGGTTAGATTGGCCGCTGGACCACTTGATCCAACGTGTTTGAGTGCGCCAATGATAGACTTTGAATTGAACCCACCACCACGAAGTAGGTAGGCTCCAGTTACCGGATGCTGCCAGGTGACTATTGGAAATCGGCCATGATGATAAGCTCGAGCGACTTTGGTCAGACACACCTGGGTGATTGACTAGTACATAGAGAATGGTACGAAATAGTACAGAGAAAAATTCAAGTGGTTAGGAAACTTCAGGAAGAATAGTGAGTGGGGGAGCGGTGAGAATGTGAAAGTAAGGTTGAAAATCTCATCCGGGACACTTTGACTGTAACCAGCTTGCTAGCAATAAGCATCATTCGCCTTATTCCAACGAATATGGTAAGCCCAGAAACGGGTGCCACTTACATTTAAAGAGGGTATAGCAATAGCGAGTATACTTAGAAACAAATTTGGCTTCTTCGAACCTCTAGCTATAATGGCCACACTGGACAGACATTGAGTTTGGGTCTCAAAAAGAGTTATATGAATTGGAATAGGAAAACTGAGCAACACATCTGTTTTCCTCACCTGTGGTATCAGTATTAGCGCCGGATAGGAACCTGTTAATTCGTATCGTGCATTCCCTGATGTGAGCTGCACTCCCAAGGGTAACATATCCGCGTGTGCACTACTCCGAACACTAGTGCCAGACCGACTGTGGAATGTTGTATCCTGCTGATTCAAAGCAAACCTGGCCATGTCCAAATAGCCAGGTGAATGTATGATGATCGAACGGAGTCGCCAGTCAACCCGGTCCAGAACGGTTGGGGAGATAACGGCAACAGATTCATCCGAATTAAGAACTGTGACACACAACAAAGAATTTCGATACAATAAATATTCATGTTCACGCAAAGGTGTGAAGGAACTGAATAAAAGTTCTCGAGGGGTAATTAGAACAAGATTTGGCAGATAACTGAGTACAACGTTGGAAAACCGACCGGATCACAGAACATGGCTTGTGTGGAACATAAGCTCTGGTTCCACGCCGGGAGAAACTGAGACGGTTTACTAAC